GTTTGTCTTTAAAACATCTTACCTGCCCTTGAATGTAGGGAAAAAAGCGAGGAAGAGGACTGAATCCTTCAGAACTCCGGAGCAACCCTGTGATCTCAGGGGCTGGGAAGGATCAGAGGTGAGAGTTGGGAGGAACACCCTAGTAGAGGGCTGTTATTGAAGAAATGAGTGCTCAGAGAAGAAAGAGTGTCTGGGCCACAGGGCCCCTGTATCCCTTCCCTGTGCCCTTACCACAAGCCCTGGAACTTTCTATTCAAGGCCTCAGGATAGCACTGCCCACTCTAGGTACCCCCTCTCCAAGTCTGGGGAAAATTGAATCCCTCTCACCTATATTTGAGTGACTCAATCAGATCTTGCTGTTCCTTTGCAGTATGCAGGGGTACAGCAGGAGGCAGGAGGTGGCCTTTGAAGGAAAAATGGTAGAGGGGAAGACCTTGACTTATTCTACTGGAAGAGAGAGGTCAATTTCAGGGGGGCGTACGTTATGCAAGCTTCAGGATGGACGTAGGACATGTTGTCGAGGAATGTGGGTTGGATGGGCTCCTTGCGGGACAGAATGGACCTAGGAAGGTGGCACTGGCCTGAGACTGGAGCAGACAGTGCAGAAGGGCACTGCGCAGTTGGCCCACTTTGACACTCAAGTTAAGTTAACTGAACTCCAAAATTGCTAACTCCTCCCACCCCTCTCACTACTAATTCAGCTCCAGAATTAAACCTGCTGATCCCAAACCAACCCTGGCCCCTCCGCGGCCACTCATTGGACATCTGCTTCTGCCTTATAGCCCAGAAGGAGGCAGCTCAGAGCAATCTCTGCATCATGCTTCAAAGCCACCAAGCAGGCTCCTCATGGGGAGGACAGGGGGAGTGGGTTTCACTTACCTTGCCTGGCCGCCTGCCCAGGGCAGATGGAAGGCAGCTGGGGAGGCCCAGCACTTCCTCTGTCCCTCTCCCTCTTATTCTCCCTTAGAAATCCTTGTCACCTTACCCCCCTCCCTTCACTCCCTCTCTGGTTGGACATGGGAATTGGGGGACAGTAGTGATCCCCTCAAGGCAGGAGAAGGGAGAGCTGGCAAAGATCAGTCTCCTGCCTTGCTTCCACCCATCCCACCAGGCCCCCAAGTGCAAGGGAACCTGTGAGTGGCAGCTGGAGGCGGAGCTCAGTCCCTCTGAGATGAGCTTCTCTCTCTCCTGACCCACACAGTGACTGCTCATGGTCCAGTGGGGAGAAGGCTAAAGGAGCTGGGGTGGAGGGCAGGAGTCACTTGGGAATGGTGGGGTGCTGGTGAGAAGGGACACTGGAGGGCCATGCATAGAAGAGTGGGGCAGCAGCAGAAGCAGGGACCATGTTTTCCTTCTGGGCAGATGGCAAACCTCTTCAAGTCTCAGTCTCCTCATCTGTAAAATGGTGACCCCAATGCTGCCTTTGTGGAATTGCAGTGGGGACGAGGGAGATAGTTGTGTGAATCTTGTGCTCACAGAATGGTCTAGAAGTAGGAGTTCTCTTGTCTCTTCTCCATTTCTGCTTGGAAAGTGGTTGCAGCTGCAGGCTGGTTCTCCAGTTGCTGCTGGGGACATGTGACAGGCACAGGGAGCTGCAAGCTGTTCATTGCCTAGGGACTGAGGTGAGGCGGCTGGAATGGAAGGGGAGGAGAGGGAGTGTGAGTTAGGGAGCTTCCCTTCCTGGAGCACCAGGGTGACAGTGGGGTATGCAGAATAGGGAAGGTGTTGTGCCTCCTACTTGAACTGCTGTAGTCTAACCCACCACGACCCCTCCCAGCTCCCTGCTGAACTGCATGGATATTCTCTTCCCTTTTCCCTTAAAGCCCCTGTGGGTCCAGGAAGACTGAGGGGCCCTTGTGGGGAGAGAGGGCCTCTATGTGTGCAGCTCTGTTATAGGAGTCTGTTCTGGGGGACCCTCCAGGGAAACTAGGCTCCCTTGGTGTTCCTGCCTGGTCCCACTTGCTGGTTATCTCCTAAGAGGCTGCTTGCTCTGCCCTATCCCTTAGTTGTGGCTGCAAAAGCTGAAGATTGGGGGGGGGGAAGAGCTGAGGAGAGGGTCCTTTGTTGGGCCAGAGGAGACATTTTTGAAAACTACTTGTTTGGAGCCAGAAGTCGTGACACTGGGGAGTCAGGCTCCGTCAGGCAGTGGCTCCGTGAGGCTCCAACATGCATCCCAAGAAAAGGGATGAGCCAAAACATCCAGTTTTCATTAGAAACAGGAATCCCTGTAGTTTGTGGCGGTGCAGATGTAGGAAACAGGTGTCGTCATCATTATGGCGGTGATTGTGGTGATGGTAGTAACTAACGATCAAGTGTCAGAGTAGTGACGGTATGACCATGGTCATAGCAGTTGTAGTAGTTGGGGTGATTCTGGTAGTGATGCTGAGGGTGGTGGCACGGTGATAGTAGTCATAGTGGTGCTGGGGTAGGTGTAGGTAGGTGGTTGTGATGATGTTGATGGCACTCATGGTCATCGCAATTGTGGGTGGTGGTGGCCATGGAGGGGCAGGGGTTGATATAGGTGACTGTGATGGTGACAGTGGTAGTAATGATAGTAATTATGATGATGGTTGTCATAGAGATGCTGGTTTCAGTATAGGAGGTCATGGTCATGGTGACATGGGTGTCCCAGAAAAAGCATATCCTGATCACAGCTATGCTACAATCAAGACAAAGTGCCCCATTAAAAATAACCCTCACATTAAATAACACACCAGGACATCAGCTCCACGTGGGCAGCTGCTTTTCATCACCACTAAATCCCCAGTGTCTAGAAGATTGTGGGGCCTATAGTAGGTGCTCAATACATGCACGTGGAATGAAGAAGGGATTGAGTCACTTCCACGATGAACACTATATTACCTCATTTGACGCCTACCATCCCATTTCATGATCCTCATCTCCTAGATGAGAAAACTGAGGCCAGAGAGATGATATCACCTGCCTACGACCACACAGGGATAAGTTATGGAGGCAGGGTTCTTACTCAGGCCTGTGGGTCTCCAGTGTAGGGCTCTTTCCTCGACACACTTCCCAGCCACTCTCCCCACCAGTGCTCAACAGTACATCTCAGTCTTATGCTCTGGCTTAATCATAGAAATATTGCTAATAATAGTAACAATTGCTGTTTGTAATTGTTCAAGTAAAGCTTAAATGATCAAGACCATGGAAATTATTAATAACCCAGGCCCAGCCATAGTGGTGTGGGTCATATTAAATTGTGTTGAGATGGATAACCTTGGCAATAATAGTAACTGGGATCATAAATTAATAACAGGAGTATTTAAATTAATGCCACACTGTCAATACCCATGGTAGTAAGCAGCTTAATGCTGCTGTTAGTACTAATGTTGCCCCTTCCTGCCTTCCATGAACTCAGCTGAGAGGAAAGCAGGTCCATAAAAGCAGTGGGAGGAGGAGACATTTAGAAGAGTTCCCCATCCGGGAGGAGGGCATCCTCAGAGACTTCTGAAGAGGTGCTCACTGCCTGGCCTCTTTTGCCCAGCCATGGCGGCTTGTGAACATGAACGTTCAAAGCCACAATGATGTCTACCTGTGTTTTCCCTTCAACTTCACTGGTTACACATGGAAAATTCAAGAGACAGAGTCCTGCTTCCTGGCCCTGTGGATGAATAGCTTCCGCTGATCTAGGAAGTCACCTCCCAATGGCTAGCAGGCCCACTTTGCAAATGCTCTTGGTCTTCCCCTTGTTCTATCATTTGGTAGGGGCTTTGCAAACCCCCTACCCCACCAGCTCTGTGCTTCAGGGCCTTGATGGCAGAACCAGGAAAGGGTGGGAACAGGCAAAGGGTGCCTTTCTGGGGGTAGGGTGCTTTCCACAAAAGATTGGTGGCACACTCACTAGGTTGGCTGGACATGTCATTTAACCTACCAAGATTTCTAGAGCATTACAAGGGTAATGCTAGGGATACCTACATAGCACATGGACATAAATGCATTCAACCACTTTCCCATTGATTCCATTCTACACAACACTACTGAACACCTACTGTGTACCAGGCTTTCAGATAAGAAGACAGTTCATGCCCACAGGAAGCTTATAAAACTCTTGGAAACAGTCTAGTGAAGACTGTTATTGAGAATACATCTATTTGTTTATTATGTACAGGTGTGTTTATGAATGTATGTGTACTTATGTGACTGTACACGTGAGACCTCATGTGGATGTGACATGTGCACATGTGTGTAGATACGTGAATGACAAATCACATGTGCATATCTGTATGCCTGTGGAGGTGCCCATGAAGGACATGCAGGTTTACAGGTGTGCATGAGGATAGTGTGGGCATATGTGAGTGCATAGCACATATGCAGGTGAGCATGAGAGTGTGTGCATACTGCTGGATTTTGTGTGCACACCTGTGACCCCTTCAAACCCATCATTTGAGAATTCAAATGATGTTGGGATGGACTCCAGCTTGAATGTCCCCGCATCATCTGGTCAGGCCACCTGCATCCCTCCCTCCCTCTTGGCCTTTGCCCAGAGATCCCTGCCCTGGGAAGGGGATGGGAGGGGCGTGGTAGAGAGTGGACCTGGATGTGAAGGGCAGGGAGGTCAGTGGACATTCTTGCTGATGACGGCTGTGTAGGGAACCAGGCACCCGGGAATAAACTGAAGTCAGAGATGGAGAGACGTGTAAGAGAGTGAACCCTGCGGCGGGCCGCAGCCAGAGGGAGAGGAATGTGAGCCGCACTGGGGACGCCCTGGCCCCTGGGCCCACAGAGTCCGAGACCCATGCGCAGTAGCCCACCCCCGGCACTGAACGCCCGGGTGAAGTGGGCCGGGGCGCGGAGAAGCAGCAGCGGGGCTCGCGGGCGCGGTTCTCCGCAAGCCTCCCCTCCCCTCCTCTAGGCTCCCCACCCGGAGGCTGCTGGGCGGGCGGGCGCGGTTCCGGGGGTGGGCGGGCTGGGCGGGGAGGAGGCGGGGCCGCGGCATTGGCTTCACCAAGCGGCTCCCGCTCCCAGCCAGAGCGAGTAGAGCCTCGTCCAGCTCCGGCAGGCGGCGGGCCCAGGAGCGCAGCGCAGCTCAGCCCTATCCGCTAGCGCGAACTGAGCTGCTAGCCTAGCGCTGCCGCCGAAAGGCGGTGATGGAGGCAGGTGCTGCCGGCCGCACCATGGACTGGCCGCGCCTGCTGCTGCTGCTGCTCCTAGGGGTGAGTGCGTCGGAGGGAAGCCAACTCCCTTTCCCCTCATCGGAACCCCAAGGGGAGCCATGCGCCACCACCCAGGATACAGAACAGAACCTTAGAGTCCCAGATGCTGGGAGTGGGAGGCGGGGGAGGAGCTCCGAAGCCGGGACCCATGGCTTCTGAGTGTAGAGGCGACCCTGAGTCCCAGGGCAAGACCCGCGCACGGATGCCGGTCCTCGGGTACCGTAGGGGGTGTGTGTGGGGGGGTGTTGAGGGAGCTGGGAGGGGTCTCTCAGGAGGAAGTCATGGGGCTCTCGGATGTCTGGGTTCTTTGGAAGAAGTCACTTGAATGCTGGGATCCCGAGGGTCTTTCCGCCTCGGCATCAAGGTCTCTGGGGAGTCGTGCGACCAAACCAAGGCGAGAAGAGGGGTAGTGAGACGGGGACTAGAGATGTGAGGGGCCAGCGGGGCTGGGGCGGGGACAGGAGACGAAGGGATGGAACAATGGGGGAGGAGGTTAGAGGGACTGGAAGCAGAGGGGACAGGGAGTGGACAATGGGGACCGGCCAGACAATGGGGGGGAGGGGCGTCGGAAGGAGAGGTTCGCGGAGCGGGAGAGGGGTTTGAAGAAGGAATAGAAGTGAATCGAGGAGAGCAGAAAAAGGACAGCGAAAAGAGAGGTAGAGAGATGGAAGCAAAAAGGAAATCGGAGGGAGAAGCGAGCACGGACTCTAAAGTGGTCGCGGGCTGCCTTCCCACTGACGGACAGTGGGAAGAAAAAGAGCAGAGGCACGAACATTTCCCGCGTGTTCCAGCGCTCTTTCCCGCGGCCTCGCCCAGTACGGGAATTGCGGCTGGGTATCCTGGGCTGGGAAGGGAGCGCCCACTGCGTCTGGGCAAACCCGCTCCCCGCGTTCCCCTGCAGCCGGCGGACTCCGACCACCGCGTAGGCAGTTTGAAGCAGCGTGCCGGACTGGGTGGGATGGAGAGGTAATCCCCCTTATCTATCCGCGGTCTGGCCGCGGTCACATCTTGGGGTGCGGAGTGCTGGGAAGCACAAGGCGGTGACGGTCCCGGAGCGCGCAGTTCCCAGCTGCGCAGACAGGAGGTGGCCCGCAGGGGGCACTGCGGGGCGGGGGATTGACATCCGCAGCTGTGAGCGTGCCTAGGGCTGCGCACCGCACCCCTATTTCCATTAAGTTACAAGACTACAGCGCCGCGCCCACCTGGTTTCTTGGGTTCTTGAGCACAGCTGGATCGGGATCCTAACAGCGCCCTGCGCAGCTTTGGATACCGCTGAGCCGCTAACAAGGAGGGGGACTCCGACGACTGTGTCTGGAGGCGTTGACTTGGCAAAGGTTGTCAACTTCTCCTCAGGAGCACCTGAGCCCTCAGGGTAGTTCTAACAAGATCTTCAGGAGATGTGACAGGGTGCGTAGCCATGAACTGAATGCCCTGGAAGGTTGGCAATCAAAGTGTCTTCCTCACTCTCCCTGCCACCTTCATCTTTTATCTGAGCACTTGTACCTCCAAGTGCCCATTTTACTGAGGCTGAGGCTCTGAGACTTTAAACGACTTGACCAAGATCTCAAAGGAAGTTGGGTTAGAGTCATGGCTGGACTCCTCTTCGCCTGATACCCCCACCTCTCAGGAGGCAGCCCGAAGTCCCAGCTCTGCCTAAGAGCTGAGTTTCATGGCTGGGTAGGGTTGACACCATCCCAGGCGGTGGAATGTGGTAGTGGGTGGACAGAGATGCTCTTCCGGCTCTGGCCCTATTCCTAAAGCTCAGCCCCAGTTACCTGGAGCTGTCAGTACCTGTGGCTTTGTCTGGGGATGAGGGAGTGACTGTAGGCGCTTTTGCTGACTAACGCCGCTGTGTTTCTTGTCCGAAGGCGGGGACGGCAGGTGGAAAGGCAGGGAGGAAGGACTGGGGCGGCCTGTAGTCTGGATCTCCGAAGGGTGAGGGCGCAGGATGTGAACCCGGGCTGGAGAAAGTGCCCTGGTGGAAAGAAGAGGCGCAGAGGGAGGGGAGCTGGAGTCCTGGGGGATTGAGAAGGTGGACCACGCGCAGGACCTGCGGCCCGGCGGCTGTCTCCTTGGCCTCCACACCGGGCTGCTGTGTATGGGCGGGCTCTGCGCACCGCGGCCAGCCGAGTTTCTTCCTGGGCCGTGGCGAGAGTGCTGAAACCAGAGCGCGTCCCGGCGGGTCTGCTGGCCGGCCGCGCCGGTAATGGAGGCACTTTGTCATTCAGACGTCTGTAACTGGAGACGCTGGGCTGGCTAATGTGCCTAATAGGGATGCAGCAGGGAGCGCAGCAAATGAGCGGGCGTGAGTAACCCGGCTCGGGTGGAGGGTGGGTGGCGAGGCGACTCTGGGAGAGAAATAACGCCAACCCCTCTGTGCCAGCCCAGTCTGGCTCAAGCGCCTCCTTCCTCCCTAGTGGTCCAGGTGGGGAGGTGGGGATAATAAAATGTGTTGAGTGCCTACTACGTGCCTCGCACTGCCCTGGATACTTTGTCCTACGTTATTCAATCCTTAGAAGGTGCCAGCAAGGTACATTTGGTCGTTTCCGTTTTACAGTTGAGGTAGCAGAACCTCTCAGACTTTCAGGCGAGACCAGGCTCCCCCAGTTAGTGAGAAGAGCCTCTAAGTCTTTAGTGCCACGAACTTAGAGCCCCCACGCAGCACTCCTGCCCCCTCAAGTCTCCGCACAGCGTCATCCTAGGCCATTAACTCTTATCTACCACCCACAGCTCAACCACTAGCACAGAGGATGAGGGGCATCTGCCAGAGCCTCCCTTCTACAGAACCTCCAGATATTGAAAACCTCTCCCAGACCTGGCAGCAGCTATGCTCCACTAGACTGCGGAGCTCTTGGGTGATTAGGACTGACCACAAGGAAGCATCCATATACTTTTTTTTTTTTTTTAACTCAGGGAAACTCAAACACTGAGCCACATTCCCAGCCCTATTTTGTATTTTATTTAGAGACAGGGTCTCACTGAGTTGCTTAGAGCCTTAGCAAATTTGCTGAGGCTGACTTTGAACTTGCGATCCTCCTGTCTCAGCCATTGGGATGACAGGTGTGGCATGCATATACTTTAAACAGTTTTCTTGTGTTTCCTCTTAATCGAATTTTTAAAATTAAGGTTCTTAAAAGCCAATTCATCTAAGGGCACTTCCAACTTAGTTATCAAAAGCCCTGACACGGGGACTGGGGTTGTGGCTCAGTGGGAGAGTGCTCACCTAGCATGCATGAGGCACTGGGTTCGATCCTCAGCACCACATAAATATAAAGTAAAGACATTGTGTCCACCTAGAACTAAGAAATAAATCTTTTTTTAAAAAATGCCCTGAAATGGCAGAAATGAAAGGTTGTATACATTCTGGATAATGGTAAATCTTTCCATCAACTCTGAAATGAATAAGGGTCATAAAACAAATTGCAGACAAATGTGTCCGTCATTTTAATCAATCATTTTGGATCTGACTTTGGAGCACTTGGTCTTAGCTCTAGTCACCCCCACCCTGCTTGGGAAACACCCCCACCTACTGTGTCCTGCCTGGGGTCAGCAACTCAACTCACTAAAATAAGATTTTTGTTTCTTTTTTAATTTCCTTTTTCTTTTTCTTTTCTTTTTTCTTTCTTTTCTTTTTTTTTTTTTTTTGATACCAGGGATTGAACCTAGGGGCAATTAACCACTGAGCCACATCCCCAGCCCTTTCTAATATTTTATTTAGAGACAGGGTCTCACTAAATTGCTGAGGCTGGCTTTGAACTCACAATCCTCTTGCCTCAGCCTCCCAAGCCACTGGGAATACAAGCAGGTGTCAATGTGCTTGGCTAAGCTATTTCCTTGATAAGGAGCATTTACTGAATTCCCACCATATACTAGACATATTTGCATACATTGTTTCAGCATGTTTCAGCAACCCTGTGCTGTAGTCATGAACCCAGTGTTTTAGATAGGAAAGCCCAGATTAGGGAGATTAAGTAATGTACCCAGAGTCACAGAGCTATAAGTAGCAGATCTAGGATTTTATGATATAGGGAACATAAAACAAGCACAGGAAACACATAACCACTAATTATGTACACACACACACACACCCCCCCGCGGCCCATTCCAAAGTCTTGAGAGGACAGAGAGTACCAAGTATAGGGAGAGCAGGCTTCTTGGTAGAAAGGCTTGTCTTAAGCTAACACACCACCCACAAGTACCATAGACAGATCTCTCTCAGCTATCCAGAGCCCAGGTCCCTACTGGCCTCAATTAACTGAAACACAGCCAGAGGCTACAAAAGGCAGCAAGAAAGACATTCAAAAAGAGAAAAGAGGGGTCCCAAAGTGTACTGACACCTCATCATTTCCTACTTGCAGCAACCCATGAGGCGGGTGCTGTCATGATTACCAAACGGTGTGGAAACAGAGGCACAGAGAAATTCAAAACCTGTCCCTTGTCACAAAGCCCCTAAGTGACAAGCTAGGATTCAGAGCCGTGGAGACAGCAGAGGAGGAAGGCCCTACAGCTCACACATTTGGCTCACAGAACTGCCCTTCCCTGCTCAGTTCCTCCTGCACACCTTTTCCCCCAGGCCTGTGGAGGGACTCTACAAATTCAATTAGGCCTAACAAGTTAGGATCCTGTGGGAAGGAGCTGTTTCAGGTCACATCCTGGTAGCTGCTAGGAGTGCAATTGATACCTTGTCAGGAAGGGAAGAGATAGGAAGAAAAAAAAAAAAAAACTATGAAAAAGCTGACAGGGGAACTCAGAAAGACAAAAGTGTGGCAATTTGGGATAAAGAACACAAAGAGCATCATGGGCACCAAAGCCTAGAATAACTGCTGGTGTAAATAGCTATCGAGTCCCCGAGTCCTGGGGAAACCATAAAGGTTTGCTCCTGACACAAAGAAGTGTGCAGCTGCTACTGTGAGGATGAAAAACTTCAGGTGATTACAGCAGAAACTTTAACCCTGAGGGGACTCAGCCATTGAGAATTCCCCCCGAGTGCTAGTGAATTGAAGTCAAATGATATTTTCATATTCTTATATTCCATAAACATATACACTGGGTACCTATAAATGTGCCAGGAGCTGTGTCAGGCACTGGGATAAACTTATCCCCTGAAGCCGGTGGTTTAGCAAAGGAGTCTGTGAAGTGTCACAGTGAGCAAGGCAGCTCTGCCTCATGTGAGAGGTGTGTGGGGCCAATGGAACCATTTCTTCCTCAAGAAAGTGACATTTAAGCAGAGCCCTAAGCAATGAAAAGAAATCACAACAGACTGTTCTGGAGCCTGCATCTTACCCCAGACTCCAGGTCTGCAGATGTTCCCCTGCTGACACCTGGGGAAAGATGGTGGCAGCACCCATGAGTCCCCTTCTCTGCTGCCTGTGTCCTCACTGCCAGACTCCTGGGGACCATGGCTACCTCTTAGGCTGATTAGCTTGTGCATCCTCTGCCTCTTCTCTTTCCTTTCCTACCAAACCCTTGTGAGACCAAAGGATGTCTTAAAAGACTGCAGGTCATGGAGTTTCTTGACCTTGATCTGACCAACACGGAAGCAGAGGAATGCCCCAAATGACCTTGTAAAGCTCCCCTCTGGTCCCATGATCCAAGAGCCTATGCTTCTCAGCATCAAATGGAGGCTGCCCAGTCTGGAGCCAGCAAAGCAGGCTTTGGAATTTTATTGGAATAAGTTGCTTTTTTTATTTTGTTTTAAAGTAACAGAAATTTAAAGCAAGCCTCCAGCAGCCCCTCCCCCTAGGGAGTCTAGTGCTAAATTGTTCCATCCATGAGCAAAGATGCTTCAGTGGCAGGAATCTGACTCCCCTTTCCCCTAGTTCCAGCTCTGTTCCCAGTGGCCACATGGGAGGAATAGAGATGGGGAGGGCTGCTGGCTGGAAATCAAACCCTGGTGGGGTAGGGCTGCTGGGTGGTGAGAGCAGTCACTGTCTCATTGATGACAGGCATCCTTTTCTCTGTATCTTGGCGCCAGACTCCTACCCGTCAGCTGGTCCTTTGCCCTGGCACCAAGCTGTCACCATCTCTATCTATGGAGAGATGATAACTCCAAGAGGGAGATCCGGCCAGGCCAAAACTCCCTAGTACAGAGTTAGGATTTGAACCCAAGACCCTAGACCTCTGGCTTCTGCTCTTGGGCTCAAACACCTCCCCTTTGATATTTAATATGTGGAGTTCAGACCCTGAGGAAGGTGTTGCTAGCCTTTGTTAGAAAAAGGTCCTCCTCTGGGTAAATGCAGCCTTGCAGGTGTGAAGCTTAGCAAGTAGAGTCTGGGCCAGATTTCAGCTCTGCTCCCCCCGCCCCACCCCCATGGCTGGGGTTTCTGTGCAAGCTGCAACCTGTCCAGTCATCCATGACACCCTACCGGAAGGCCCTCCATTGAGTCTCCAGCCACCTTCCCCATGTGGTGTGTCCTTAGGATTCCAGGTGGGGCTGTAACCCCAAAGTGAACTTTGCAGAAGGTTCGTATCCCAGGCTCTGACCTCACACTCCAGCAGCCTGTAGGGGTGCGTTGTCCCCTACTGCCTTCCTTCCCGCCAGCTTTGATGTGCCTAATGCTTCCCTGGTGAGCTCATCCCAGCCCAGGTGGTTCCAATAGAAAGCATTAGGAGGGGGCCGTTTGATCCCCCCCTTGGAAGACACCCGCCTTTCTCTTGCCATTCTGACCCTCTGATCTCCCCCAACCTAGGTGTCCCTCGGAGGTGCCCAGGAGCCATGTCCCACAGGCCTGTACACCCACAGTGGCGAGTGCTGCAAAGCCTGCAATGTGGGGGAGGGCGTGGCCCAGCCCTGCGGAGCCAACCAGACTGTGTGTGAGCCCTGCCTGGACAGTGAGTACGGGTGGTGGCCAGGAGAGCAACCCAGGGGAGTCTGAGCGCTCTGCCTCCTCGTGGGGGCCCCTGCCCACCACTGTAGAGCAGAGAGGAGATGCTGAGACTGGGTGAGGGAAATGTACTGAGGGAGGAGGGAGGCCTGGTGGGGGACCCCCGGGGGGTGTTCCTTCCCAGCTTCTAAGCAGAGAGGCTGGTAGAAGAGTGTGGCCAGGCATCCAAGAGAAGCTGATGCTAAGACCAGCTAAAAATAACTTCTGCACTGCAGAATCAATGGCTGCAACTTACCCTCCATGTATGGGGGTTGGGGGGAGGATCAAATCCTGGCTGCTCTGGAGACTGACCTTGGGGGATCCTGGGAAGGCGTGATGCCTCCCTCCCCCACAATGTTTCTCCAGCTTTGACCAAGGAAGCAGAGCTTCCCTGAGGCAGCAGGGATGGGGGCTGGAGGCTCCAATGATGGCCTGGGGGGGGGGGCAGGGGAGTAGGGCACTGTGGCTATTCCTTCCTGGAACTTCCCTCAGGAGGAAAGAGAACCCTTTTTCCCGGGGCTGCTGGATGAGAGAGACAGAGGGATAATGGGTCTAGGTCCCTTGGCCCTAGTCTTGTCCAGGGTCTGAATTCTGTGCCATTTTGAGTCAGAAGTCTGAGTCTGTATTGGATACCCCTGTGCTCAGTGACTGCCTTGGGCCCACAGACTCAAGGACCATTTCCTATCTGCTGCCAATTAGATCCTCCTGTCTTCTTGGCATTAATTACTGAACCACATCCCCAGCCTTTTTTTTTTTTTTTTAATATATATATGTTTTATTTAGAGACAGGTTCTTGCTAAGTTATTTAGGGCCTTGCTAAGTTGCTGAGGCTGGCTTTGAACTCATAATCCTCCTGCCTCAGCCTCCTGAGCCACTGGGATTACAGGCATGTGCCACTGCAGGGGACCTCCCCTTACTTTTTAAACTCCCTGGGAACAAGGGTACAGAGCTGGGACCTCTAAGGCCATCTGCTGGCTAGTCTGACCTTGGGATGCCACCTCCCCTGGTCTATCTTCCAGGCAACTCCTGTGTTCCCCTGAACACACTATCTTTCCATTACCGTGCTTATGAATTCTGTGATCCTCAAGTTCCATCCCCAGCACAGGGACACCCGACCTGGGTGGGAAGGCTTTGCCACCTTGCCATCTGGCACCTTCCCTAACCCTGGTCAAACACAGTGGGTCTCCATTCCAGGACAGGGTTAGTCACATGGGTATCCTAGAACAGCCAAAGTCTGCCTCTCTCTCATTGTCTACACACCAGCCTAGGGCTCTCCTCTCTGGACCCATCCCCTAGGATGGGACCCCACTTCCTTCTGTAGGGGATCAGAAGAGGTCAGGTGGGGACAGGACCGGGAAGTCCGGGGTCTTTGTGAAGGGAGCAGAGGCAGTTCAGAGACATTGCAGGAACCTTCCCATCCTCCCGGCCCTTCTTCCCCTCCCTCCACCCCCTGCCTCCTCCAGCTGTGTTAACAGGCTGCCTTTACAAGCCCACTTTATGGATGGAAACCCCAGTGGACTTTCCCTCTACCCTCAAAACGTTTCTACAAGGAAACCTATTAAGCCCTTGCCTTCATGCTGTGCCAAAAAAGACCACATTTTTCACACCACCTAAAGCCCTCTCCCAGGAGTTTTCTGCTGATTTCTGTGTTTTACCAGGAGCAGGGCTCTCCTCCTCCTCTCCAGTGTGACTAGAACCTGCCCCCACCTACTGCCAGATAGGACCCTCTTATGTGTACACATGGGACATCCTGCCTTGAGGTTAGAAGTCCTTTCTGCTACCTGCCACCCAAATTCACTGAACTTATCACTGCCCACCCACAGGACCCAACCTTATAGGATCCCTGCTATGTATAAAGTGCTTTTACCATGGGGCTTCATTTATTCCTCACTACAACCCTTTGCATGGAGATATTATTCCCTATTTTATAGAGAAAGAAAAAATCTCAGAGAGGTTAAGTAAAATACCCAGAGTCACACAGCTAATAACTGAAGGAAGCAAGTTTGAATCAGATCTTCCTGCTTCCCAGGAAGAGAAACACAGGGTTCCTCTGGGGGAACTGATTGGAAACTAAAGTATCCCCACTGGCTCTTTCCCTCCATCCATTCTTCTCTCTCCTGTCCCAAGTGAAAGTGTCTGTTTCACTTCTCTCCAGATTTTCTTTTCTTGTGTCCCATCCCTGATCTAAGATATGAGTCTGCGCTGCACCCAGTCTCTTGATGCCTTTGGGTGATATTGAGACCCGGCCTCCAGCGGGTACCCATTTCCCTCCCATAGCCTTTCTACTTTTGCTTCCATATTCTGAGGACTCTGTCCCTCCCTGATTCTGGGTTCCTCAATCTATGCTCTCCCTACCCTTGGAATCAGGATAGGTGCTCCTGGATTCAAACTGGCACAGAGTTCTCCACCCAGCTCCACCCCTACCCCCACACAAGGAGGCAAGTATCCTGGCACACCCCACCTCCTCTTATTCTGAAGCTCACATCCATTTGTTAAGTGAGCGTTAGTCAAGAGTGAGTTTGGAAACCTCCCTTTACGCCAGCTAAAAGGGTGGAGGACCATATAGGCAAGTCCTTCTTGCTTTTTAACTCCAATCCCTCCTGTTGTATTTGAACTTTCTTGCTTAGAGTGCCATCCCCACCCTCAAGAACCAAGCCCGTGCATGGGTGGGAAATTCCACTGTCTAACCCTAGTCACTCCCAGCATGCCACACCTGAGCCCCCACCTGCGGAGAGGGATGGAAGGGCAATTGAAGCACAGGCTCCCCAGTGGAAGGCCTGTCCTGCTTGGGCTGGGTTCACAGCCTAACTCTGGCCTGCGGGGAGGGCTGGGTGGAAACCAGGCTCAGATAATGCTTTAATCATGCTGGGAAGAAGAGATACAGGGCTGAGAACTCTCTAAGATGATTTGCCAAGGAATTTACAGGCACCAGCTGGGTTACCAGGTGACTCCTCAGGGCCAGCGCTTCTGAGCCCTGGAGGATGGGGCTCCTGGCCCTTTTCCCAGTCCCTGTCACCAGCTTTCTAGGGCTAGGATCAGGGTCTCTAGGGAAGAGGGTGGGAATCGATAAAGGGAAGAACTCAGAACTAGAGAGTTAAGCACCTGGCCGGCGATGGAGAGGGAGGGACTCCAGATCCTGCATCCCAAGTGCCCAAAGAGCAGATGACTAAGTTTAGTATCCATTGCTTCCCTTCCGGTTCCCCCGACCCTCAGGTGTGACGTTCTCCGACGTGGCGAGTGCCACCGAGCCGTGCAAGCCGTGCACGGAGTGCGTGGGCCTGCAGAGCATGTTGGCGCCGTGCGTGGAGGCCGACGACGCCGTGTGCCGCTGCGCCTATGGCTACTACCAGGACGAGATCACCGGCCTCTGCGAGGCGTGCAGCGTTTGCGAGGCGGGCTCGGGCCTCGTGTTCTCCTGCCAGGGCAAGCAGAACACCGTGTGCGAGGAGTGCCCTGATGGCACGTACTCCGACGAGGCCAACCACGTGGACCCGTGCCTGCCCTGCACCGTGTGCGAGGACACCGAGCGCCAGGTCCGCGAGTGCACGCGCTGGGCAGACGCCGAGTGCGAGGGTGAGCGCAGGTCGCGAGTGGTGCTGGGGGAGTCTCGAGAAGGGCGCCCTCTGGAGGTCGCGAGGGGCCCCGCCTGGTCTTCTAGGGCAGGCTTGTGACCTCCAGCCAACAGGCACCCTCCCCAGCCTCAGTCCCTCCTGTGACCTGAGGGAGGAGGTGATTCCGATCCTATCTCACCGCAGAACCCCTTTCACTATTTTCTTCTTTGGGCACAGTGTTGGGAAAGCCAGCATTCTCATCTTCTAGGGCGCAGTTACTACATTGTAACTCGTGTTCTGGGACCTCATTCATCTGTGGCTGCCGGCCAGTAATTGGATGGGCAGCAGACAGTGGCTGGAAGGGGGCCACCGCCTTCAGAGTCCAAAACAGGGCATGTTCCGCGCTGAGGCAGGCTTTCTGAACTGGAAACTGGAGTTGGGACCCTTTGGCTGTGAGTCCTGGGCTAGGTTCATGGTGGCTTTTGGCTCTGGGACCTGGGATAGAATTCACCCTGACACCTCAGGGAGGTCACTCCTGTCTCTGGACCTCAGTCTTCTCACTGGCCTATGGTTGCCAGGGTCACTGAAGGTTAGGGAACACTTGGTGAGGGTGGCCCACTTCATCTTATTGTGTCCGGGGGCACCCAACAGTCCCTGTGGCGGTTTTCTGAAGGTTGAGATTGAATACAGAGAATAATAAGATCATGGAGGAAGGAGTTCTGTGGCAGAAAAAAGGGTTCTGAGGCAGGCATGGGGTGTGGAAGTCTGTGGACAAGGTAGGGTACAAACAGAGGGGAGCTGGGTGTGCCCGCCTTGGCCAGGTCTGGGGCCTTAAGGAGATAGGAGGAGGAAGCACACTGGGAATCAGGGCAGAACTGTTTTGTTGGTAACGTTCACCGCAGGGGGAGATGGGAGGCTTTTCCATTGCCAAGAGAGATTGGCAGTGCCTTTACATTGTTTCCATCATCCTGTGGCCACGCACCCATTAAGCTGCTTCCCCTAGAGAGCTAACCTCAGGTTGCCCTCACTCTGAGCAGCAACACAGTGTCTCCTCCAGCTGGATGGGAAAGAGCTAGCTGGGGCTCCCATCCATTGGATGAGGCAGGCAGGGGCCCAGCACCAAGTTCCCAGCTGGGGCAGAGGAGAGTCCCAACTTCAGAATTCCCAGTCAGATGGGAGCTGGGCACCCTGGCCCCAGGGAGACTCCATTCTGACCAGGACTCGGACATACCCAGTACTCTGGGAGGACTGCTGGGGATTCGTGAGCTCCCCAGGGAGGAGGGTGGAGAAGGACCTCAGTCTTCTCACTGAGCGGTTAAAATGGGAAGAGGCAGGGAATGTGTTTGCAGCTTTCTTCATGAGGGAGGCAGGTGAAGGAGGATTGGGGTGGAGACCCCAGGGTGGTTCTGGTGGAGACTGCCAGGGGTCAGGAGACAGGCAGCTGGCAGCTGGCTCCAGGCAGAGCAGGGAGCGTTTCTGCAGCCAGGCAGCAGGCCACTGGGCAGCACAGTTCCATGGGCAAGTCTGGGCTAGCAGCGGGGATAGTCCAGGATGCGGTTAGAGCCAAGAAAGGTGACAGTGGGAGGAGGGGTGAGCTCTGCCTTTTGGGGCATTCACAGCGTCCTCCCAGATGCCATCTGGCTTTCCCAGCCTTGAAGGGAGCGGGTACCCCTGAGGGGTGTATTTACCCCTGTCCTGGCCCCCTTTCAGCTCCGGCCTCTGCAGGGTTAAATGTTAACTCCAGGGCAGAGGGTCCATTTCAGGAAATGGAACTTGATTCTCGGCTGGGTTACCCCCTCCCCTCCAGTACACCACGCTTTCCTGCCTAGACATTTCAGGTATCAACAAGGTGACTCACCCACCCTCAGGGCAGAAGTCTCCCTGTGAAGTTTAGGAAGAGGTAACCTGGTCCCTCCTTCCACCCCCAAGTCTGATAGCTTCAATTCCGGAAATGGCTGTCAGGACCTGCCAAGGGCTCTGTGGGTTGGAATGCTAGTGGACTGGCCACATCTGGATCTCATCCCCTACCCCCATCATGAGGGACCCCAGAGGTGAGGGGAAAGGCCCCAGGCATTCAGCTCTGTCTTTAGCCTGGCCTGCCCCTTGACTGCCCCCTCCCGGCTACTCTTGTCTCTGTAAGGGCCTGGTTCACCCCCCAGCCCCACCCATGCCCCTTCAGCCTCTGGGTCCCGGGTATCCATCCGAGCTGAGCTAGATCTGCAGCCTCTGGGTTCCAGCTGCCACCCAGTCTGCCCAGTCCCTTAACAGGTTATGAGAAGACCCTCCCCAGTCTAGTACCCTGTCTGGGGCTCCCAGAAGAGGGGCTGTGTCTTCTCCACTTCCCACCCCTCCTCCCTCCACCCACTCCCAGGACTGGGTGGGGGAGGGGTGGGGTGGAGCAGCAGATGGCAACCCTGTCCCCACTGCCAGTCAAATGGATCCCAAACTCACATCTGGAGGCCTTACCCCCGAGAAGGTGCTGAAAATGAGGACCTTTGAAGCATCTTGGTCTTGAGCCTAGGAGGCCTAGAAGACTGGCGGACAGCTTAGACTCCAACTTGGGTGGGCACACTGGGGGCTGGGAGGGGCTGAGCTGGGAAGCAGGTGCCCTCGCTTTCACCCTGTTGGCATGCCCTGTCTGTTTTTGTTCCCTGCCCCAGGCGTGGGAAGTGAGGATGGATGGGGTAGGTACCTTCGCCCAGACAAGTACCCCCAGGCCATTCAGAGCTACAACCCCTAGCACGGCCCCTGGATGGGGGGTAGAATGGAAAGTCCCACCCACTGTTGCCAGGAGGTGCCAAGGCCCCTGCCAGGGAGGCTGGCAATACCTAGTTGGCATGAGAAGGCCTAAGTGGGTGGCTGGGCACAGTCTCTCTCCCCTAGAGCAGTGGACAGTACCTGCCTTGCAGGCCTCGATCTACCAGCGCCTGCTTCCTGCCAAGGAGGGTCCTGGCTATCTGACACAGTCTTCCCTGGGTGGCAGGGCCAGGTGGTATAGGGACAGGGCAGGAATCAGGCTACTCACTGACAAAGGGCTGCTAGGAGGGAAGCAAGCCAGCTGCACTCCACCCCCAGTCCAGGCCTGAGAGACAGGAAGCTGAGCGTGCCCCTCTGGGACATGCAACTCTCTGACCAGGCCTGAGTGCCCTTGTCCCTCCTTAGGGCTGTGGTCATCTAGACACTCTGGGGCCGGCTTGAGGTTTCCCTATGGCTCAGGCATCTTTGCATGTTTGCCCCACACCAGGCTACAGGGTGCTCAGGAGGGGCAGAATAGAGGTCTAGGTCCACCGCCCAAGATGGAAGGGAGCTTAGAGACCATTCCTAATAATAGTCCCATACTCTAGATGGGGAAATCGAGGTCCCACCAGGGACAGAGCTGATAGGGATCCCGGTCTCCTGGCTTGTAGCTCTCGCTGTCCTCCACCAGCATGACATCATGCACAACTCCCAGCTCCCAATCTGGAGCACAACAGCTTGGTGCCCGAGCACCCAGAACCTGGGGGTGAGACCTCAGGAAGAAGCAATGGAGTGGGCCAGACCTGAGGGGAAGGGTCTGGAGGGGAGAGGGCCTTCATCCTGCGCCCTTTTCCTCTAGAGATCCCTGGTCGTTGGATTACACGGTCCCCGCCCCCGGAGGGCTCAGACAGCATGGCCCCCAGCACCCAGGAGCCCGAGGTCCCTCCAGAACAAGACATCATAGCCAGCACGGTGGCAGATGTGGCGACCACAGTGATGGGCAGCTCCCAGCCCGTGTTGACCCGAGGCACCACTGACAAGCTCATCCCTGTCTACTGCTCCATCCTAGCTGCTGTGGTTGTGGGTCTCGTGGCCTATATTGCCTTCAAGAGGTAAGAGGGGCACCAAGGGGACAGAAAGCAAGGACATTTGTCCTCAAGGAGGGCTTTTCCCTTTCCTTGACCTGAAAACACACACCCTTTTGAGGGGGGGGGGGTGGTAACTGAGGATTGAACTCAGGTGTGCTCAACCATTGAACCACATCCCCAGGGTTTTTTTTTTGTTTTTTTTTTTTTGAGACAGGGTCTTGCTAAGTTGTTTAAGGCCTTGCTAAGATGCTGAGGCTGGCCTCAAACTTATGATCCTCCTTTCTCAGCCTCCCAAATCGCTGGGATTACAGGCATGCACCATGGTGCTGGCACGTGAACCCTTTTGGCTCAACCCCAAAGCAGGCTCACCCTTATTCACCCACCACTGTCCCACTACGGGACATGGTAGGTCAGGAGGGTGAGGAAAAAATATGCCCTGTGTTGTCCTGGCTCCAACCACCCCCACCCCACTCCCAAGCTGTTCCCTTCCTTCCCTGACTCCCCTCAACTCCAACTGCTTGTGTCCTTATTTCTCAATCCCGCTCACCCCAAAGCTACCTGGGTATGCCTGTGTGTGTCTCTTCCCTTTTTTATGTCACCCTTGGGCTCCTATGGCCCATATCCAGGAACCTAGGATGAACAAGGACTCCTGGAAAGCATTAAATATATTTTCCATTTTTAAAAAATGTTGTTTTGTAGTTGTAAATAGACGGAATGCCTTTATTTTATTTGTTAATTTTTACGTGGTGCTGAGGATCAAACCCTGATTCCTGATTCCTGCCCCATGCATACTAGGCAAGCGCTTTGCCACTGAGCTACAACCCCAGCCCTATTTTCCATTTTTTCAGGTTTGTTTACAAAACTGCAAAAAAGACCAATATCTTTTTTTTTCCCTCATGGAACTGGAGTTGGAACCCAGGACCTCCCTCATGCTCAGCAAGCTTTTCCCCACTGGGCTCCCTTCCCAACCCCAACCCCCACCCCCAGACCAGTATGTTCTAAAACAAAGAGTAACCCCCGCCTCCATTATCTCCCCCAATCTTACTCCTCTCTTCTCTGGAATCTGTTTGGAATGTACCCTTCCCAACCATTTTCTGTGCATTTTGTTTATATATATATATATATATATATATATATATATATATATATATATATATATAAACTTCTTAAAATTGCATGTAAACACATAGGGTTTTTGATTAAAAAAAAAAAAAAAGCCCCAGGGGATCACACTATTCATAGTCTATGAGATACTTTTTCACTCCGTCCTCCTCAGGAGAACTTTCCTTGGGACATAGATTATCTGGACATTTGGAACCACACATCCGATAATCTGGATGGACATTGTTTAGTCATTTTCCTCCTGATGGACATTGGGTTTGTTTTCGGGTTTTTGTTATTGCTTATAAGTGCAGAGGAGATCCTTGGACATATCATTGCTCACATGTGGGAGTATTTTAGAAGGGTAGATTGGGAAAAGTGGAATTTCTGGAAAGTTGTTTATGAGCCCCATGGATTCCTGAATGTTTGTTGCCCACTTGCAAAATGTCCCCTACCCATACGGAGCTTTTCCTGTGTGCAGGGGGTGTAGATATGTAAGGCAACAAGACACTGTGGGGGCCTTCCATGCCCCCCAGGCCCCTCCCCACACATCAGGGTACCTTGGCTGCACTGGCTAGTCCAGCCACTCACTCTGAGACCTGGCCTGTTCCCTGGCTCCAGGTGGAACAGCTGTAAGCAGAATAAGCAGGGTGCTAACAGCCGGCCTGTGAACCAGACGCCCCCACCTGAAGGAGAAAAACTCCACAGTGACAGTGGCATCTCTGTGGACAGCCAGAGCCTGCATGACCAGCAGCCCCACACGCAGACGGCCTCAGGCCCTGGTAAGTGTCAGGGCAGGGCAGGGCAGGCGCAACTGAGGCAGGACACCGGGCATGATGGAGATTAGCTATAGGAGGGGCTGGCTAAACTGCTAAACTGCCTTTGCAGAAGCCTGGGAGAGGCTGGGAGAGGGGAATGGGAAAGAGAGGTCTTTTCCAACGGGGCATCTTGGGAAATGGAGGCTTTTACTAGCTGAACATTCAGACTCATCAAGCTAATTGTCCCCCCTGGGGGCTAATTACTGCCCAAAGTAGCTGCAATTAGCCTCCTGCCCTGGACTTCTGGGGAACAAGTGGTTAAGTATGTACCCTAATTAGTGGCCCACAGCCGGACTCCAGGACACTCGCTGCAGTTGTCTGGAGCTGAGGAGCCCTGTCTCCTGCTCTGCCTTGGGCTCTACTTTGGTTAATTGCGGGGTGGGGGGGGTGTAGGGGGCAGGGGAGCTATGGGTGAGGGAGGGACGGTGAGTCAGCATCCCCCAGCCCCCACCTGGCCCTGCCTCCTTCAACGAACTCATCTTGGCCATCCCTCTGCCTCTTGCCCCAGATTGTGGTGAGAATGTCTTGGGCCCACTGGGGCGGGGGCAGGGGCAGGACCTGACTTCTCTGGGTTCTTGGCAGCACTCAAGGGTGACGGAGGCCTCTACAGCAGCCTGCCCCCAGCCAAAAGGGAGGAGGTGGAGAAGCTGCTCAACGGCTCTGCTGGGGACACCTGGAGGCACCTGGCGGGCCAGCTGGGCTACCAGCCTGAGCACATAGACTCCTTCACCCACGAGGCCTGCCCTGTCCGTGCCCTGCTTGCCAGCTGGGCCGCCCAGGACAGCGCGACGCTCGATGCCCTCTTGGATGCCCTGCACCGCATCGAGCGACCCGACATTGCGGAGAGCCTGTGCAGCGAGTCCACGGCCACGTCCCCTGTGTGAGCCCACCAGGGAGTCCCTGCCCTGCCCCCACGTTCTGAGGATGGATGCTCCAGCCAACCCCCATGGAGCCCATCCCCCCTGGGGTGGGCCAGCCTGGCAGAGCTGAGCTCCTCTGGGCAGGGCCTCGAGCCCAGGCCCCCAAACCACAGCCCTGTCGCTGCTCCTGTGTGGCCCCCTCGCTTCTGATCACATTCCCTCTCAAGCAAGAGAAGGGAGCCTCCCCACCCCTGCCTCTCGCCATCTTGGGCCTTCTCCTTCCTTCTCCCCACTGCTGGGTGGGCCAGCCCCTCCCACCTAGCAGGTGTCCTATCTGGGGGTCTGACGCCAGGGATGGTATTGGCAGTGGTGACAAGCCCCCAGAGACTCAGAAAGAGGTACTAAGGAACCAGAGCCATGGACTCTACACTGTGAACTTGGGGAACGAGGGAGCATTCTAGTGGCCTAAACCCCTCCAACCCTCCTGCTCCTCCCTTCTGGCCTAAGAGGAAGAGGATCAGAGAGTCCTGTCTGTGCTGGAAGCAGGTTTGAAAGCCAGTCCACCCCCTTCCTTTTATACATAGGCCCAGAGAGGCAGAGACTTCCCAAAGCACCCAGCAATGGTGAGGTCAAATACAGGCTGACACTATCCTCTTGAAATGAGGGACCTTAGGTTTTTCTTGAGGCTGGGTGAGGGGGATCAGGTGACCTTCAGGGAAATGTCTTGAAGCCAAGTTCATTCCAGCCTCCACCATCTCCAGGCCCCTAACCCCTGTGGAGATGGATGCCTGCCCTCAGCTGGCCCACTGACATCCTGATGGAGTCAGGTCTGGGGCTGGGGAAAGGGGTTCCACCTCCCTCTTCCTGTTCCCACTCAGGCTTATCCATGGGAAGTGGCCTTAGTATATTGGTGCCCTCTGCCCTGGCACAGACCTGGAGCCAACACTGGCCCCTAGAATCAGCCCTAGGGGTCAAGGACTAAGGACCCCCCACTTCGCACTGTGAGTGTGCACAGGAGTACGCATGCGCACGCGCACATGCACACCCGGGATGGGTCATTTTGCTTTTCTCCACAAGTTTTTTCTCTCGGGCCGAGACTGAATTCTGTCAGGACCATTGCCAGAGAAGCAGGAGAGGGAGCTGAGCTCTGCTGGGGCGGTCTTCCTTCGCCCCCAGGTTTGGCCGGCCGTGGACCCACCGACCGCTGAGGCTTGAGCTGGCGTCTGTCTGCCAAGGGCCTGTGCGTGGAGGAATGCACCCCATCCTCCCCTTTCCAAAGCACGGGTTTGGCTGGGCCCAGAAGCTTGCAGTGAAGAAAAGTGGGCCAGTGGGGGTTAGGATACAAGAAGGGACACAGTGGGACCGGGAGGACCCTGTGAGGGAATGTTTTCCTTAGCATAGCCAGAAAGGGACCACAAGGTCTCACTGACGTCTTAGCCCCTCCCTGGCCTTTTGTGGTTTGCTTGCTGTTGGAATGAGTGCGGCTCCCCCTATATTTAGCATGAAGGAGCCCCAGGCAAGGTGTGCTCGGACCGCCACCCCTCCCTCATCCAGGGTTCTCCCAACCCTGCGTAAGGGACTAGGAGCATTGCACGTGATGGCATTTCGTCGACCTTAATCTGCGATGAGAGGAGGGACCCCACCTGCTGGCCCCTCACCTGAGCACCTGGGGAGTGGGACAGTCCGAATGTATTTATTTTCCTCCCCAGCGGCAGGGGAGGGGGTGGGGAGCCGCGAGTATGTTTTAGCATGTGTTGGTTCTGGAGCCCCTCCTGCCTCCCTTTGGGCTGGGATTAAACCCTTTTGACCCTACAGCTGGGGACTGAGCTCCAGACCCCCCCTGTCACCCTCCCTGTCACCTCCTCTTTGCATCCTGTGTAATCATTTCTTGGGCCCTCCTGAAACCTACACCTAAAACATAAGTGATGAGCATTAAATAGCAAAGAGAAAAAAATATATATAGTGCAAAGAGATTTTCTGGGAATCCCCGTGGTTTGAGTTGGTTGGGGCTGTGGGATGTCTGGGGCCCCGGGCATCATTTCTAACTCAGTGAATTCCTCTCCTACTTTTTCCTCCAAGAAATTGGGGGCGGGGGCGGGGGGGGTGGCTTTATCAGGAATCCAGCAAGCTCACATATACAGCCCTGAAGCTCATTTAAGTGGGGGTGGGGAGGAGTAGAGGCCCTTCGCCCCCAGACTGTAGAGAGGGAAAGTAAAAATGGCCATACAGGAAGCTGGCCAAGCTGTGAACTTGACCAGATGTCAGAAGTGAAACTGACCACAGGAGAGCCAGGGGCTTGCTAAGAAGGCCAGGTCACAACCTCACAGCTCCCAGCCACCCACGTGGCCTGTGAGACACGCACACACAGAATCTGGCTCCAGATGGCCTGGTGGGAGGCTGGCTGGCCTGGCCTGGAGTCAGACAGGCAGGTCCCTCCCTCCTGGCTCTCCTGGGCAGGTCCTAACCCCAGGCTGCTGCCTGCCTGGCTGTGGGACCTGCCTGGCTCAGACCTGGGAGCTCCTGGGGCTATAGGGTTCCTGGTCCCAGGCCTGTGCCCCACTTGAAGCTGGCTGGGCAGGTGGTCAGAACTGCTTGGTCTCTGCTGTTGTTTGTCCAGGTCCTCTCATGGGACTGGCTGTGGTCATAGGGAAAGGCTATAGGAATCTTGTTCTTCCCAGGAAGAACAACACAGCCTTCCTGATTTCCAGATCCAAGGAGAGGGGCCAGCAAGGCCCAGCCAAGGGGTGGAGGGGAAGGCTTTTGTCTCCCACCTCAGCCACACTGAGACAGTGGTGAGGAAGACATGGGTGTGGCAGGCAGGGACTCAGAGGACCGAAGAGAAATGATCCTGGTACTTGGAAAGCCCCTGGTGTGATGGGAGTCTCTGTCTTGAGGGAGCCTCCTGTCTGATGGAGGAGGCAGTCTCAGACCTGAGGATATTTCTGATCTGATGAGAGCGGCACAACTCCTGTCCTTAGAGAGACCCACTTTCAGATGAAAGAAATACAGTCATTGCCCTGAAGGAGCCTCTTGTTTGGTAGGAATGGCCAGATGCTGACTGGTGGAGTAAAGTGATACAAACCCTGCCTGTACCTTTCCATTTTAGTGCTGAGGACTGAACCCTGGGGTGCCTCATCACTGAGCTACATCCATGTGCAGCTCTGTTTGTTATTTTTAAATTTTGAAACAGGGTCTTGGCTAAGTTGCTCAGGGCCTCGCCAAGTTGCTGAAGTTGGCCTTGAACTTGTGATCATCATCCTGCCTCAGCCTCCCCAGTTGCTGGGATTACAGGCAAGGCACTGCAGCTCAGCTTATTTATTATTTTATTTATTTTGAGATGGAGATCTTGCTATGTTGCTCAGGCTGGCCTTGAACTCCTGGGCTCAAGTAATCCTCCTGCCTTGGTCTCCCAAGTTGCTAGGCACACACCAACAAGCCCAAATTATGATTGGACATTCTTTAGGAGGATAGAGAACAGACGGGCCCTGGGTGATGTGCACTGCCATATTAGGGTGATTGGGGGTCCCGGTCCAGACCTACCCACACCCAGGGTCAGGGAAGGGACATGGAAGCTGAGCTCCTGAGGATGAGTGGGCTAACAAGCCAGGGGAAGAGAGTGTTTCTGGCTTTGGAAACAGCTGGAGCAAGAGCCCTGGAGGTGGAGGGGACAGAGCCGGCCTGGGGAGGCTCCTGTGTCTGGAGCCCAGAGAGTGAAGGGAGGGAGGGCAGCGGGCCAGATGGGCCAGGGCTTAGGAGGAGTCTGGCTGAGGGGTCTGGACTGCATTCTTTGAACACTGGGAATGACGAAGGGTTCAAGCTGTGAGCTGCTGCCCTTACATTTGCTTTTTTTTTTTTTTTGAGTTTTGTTTTTCACTCTTTAGTTGTTTTTTTCTTTTGGTTTGGTTTTGGTTTCTGGTGCTGGGGATTGAACCCAGGGTCTCGATTCTTCCATTGAGCAATATCCCAGTCCCCAGATTTGCATTTCAGGAAACCTTTGCTGCTGCAGAGTGGAGGGGTGGGTCAAGATAGGCCAGGGAGTGGAAGTCAAGGAGCAGAGGTTTCATGTGACAGCTCCTCTGAGCTAGTGAGGGGTAGAGGGCAGGAAGTGACTGACACTGGCCCAGTGCTCTCATGGGTATGGGACAGATTCTTAAGGACATCTTACCACAGTCCCTCTTCACCCTTCCCCAACATGTAAAGAAACCCTCTTTGCCCATCTCGGCCTCACCTCCATCCCTCCTTCAGTTTCCCCTCAATAGATAAATGCTTTGTCACCTTTCCATCTTTGCTGTAGTCTTCAGGGCTGCCAACTTCCCCAGATGAACTTACTAATAAATTTAACCTTAGCACTGCCTTGCTCCAGCCATCCTCCTCACTCTCTGCTTCCCCAAACCAGCCTTCATCGTCATCTTCTTCTTCTTTGTTTTTGGTATTGGGGATTGAATTCAGGGTCACTCGAACACTGAACCCCATCCCCAGCCCTATTTTGTATTTTATTTAGAGACAGGGTCTCACTGAGTTGCTTAGTGCCTCACTTTTGCTGAGGCTGGCTTTGAACTCACAATCCTCCTGCCTCAGCCTCCCAAGCCGCTGGGATTGCAAGCATGCGTCACTGTGCCTGGCTCAAACCAGCCTCCTCCTCCTCCTCCTCCTCCTCCTCCTCCTCCTTCTTTTTTAAGTTTTTTTTTAATACCTTTATTTTTATTTATTTATTTTTATGTGGTGCTGAGGATCAAACCCAGGGCCTTGCACATGCTAGGTGAATACCACTGAACCACAACCCCAGCCCCCAAACCAGTTTTCATATAATCTAAAAACTTTACTATTCCTTCTAGCCACAGGACCTTTGCCCATGCTGCCCTTCTGTCTAAAACTCTCCCCCAAATTGCCCAGTCCAGCGCTTCCTAGGCCCAAATCACGTTCCTTGATTCCAGCTTCAGAGAATACTGTGTTCCACTCACTCTTTGTTATCAGGCACCCTTCTGAGTGATTATTTGATTACTGCAAACTCCAGGAAACCAGAGACAAGCTCTGGTTTTGCTCACATTTGAGTCCTCTGCACCTTACCTGGCATTCAGCTGGCACTCCATACAATTAGGCTGAAAAAAATGAATGAGTGTGCTCTGAAGCAGTTTTGTCCAGTAGAAATATAATGCAAATGACATGTAATTTTTTTAAAAAATTCTTTTTTGATAACCACATTACACAAGTAAAAAGAAACAGATGAACTTACTAATAAATTTAACCTAATAGATCTAAAGTATTGTTTTAACATATAATCAATATTTTAAAATCATTCATGAAATGCCATAGATATTTATTTTGTCCCACAAGTCATCAAAGTGCTCTGTGTGTTGATTCTGATAATACATCTCAGTTTGCACCAACCACATCTCATGGTGGCTACCATACTGGGCAGCTCAGCTCTAGGGTTTGATTTGGTCCCTCCCAGGACAGGGACTTATTCTGAGCCCTCAGGGCACTCAGTGAACAGATGGAGACTCCCTTGCTTCCTCCTGTGTCATCAGGGTCCCCAGGCTTCAGGCCAATAGTCCTCTCCTCTGGCTTCCCTGCCTCCTGCCCGCCACCCACAAGGTACCTCTCCCCTGGCTCTCTGCCTCTGTCATTCTCTGGGCTGGAGGCCAAAGCTCTTCATCTCTGCCGGTCGCCGGGCCCCATCCCTTCCCGTGCCTTCTCCCCTCAGTCAGGAAGATGGAACTGAGATGAGCTTTGGAACAGTGTGAATGGCCTCCGCATCCAGAGGGGAGGGCCATGGTGGGGGGCCCAGAGACCCTAGCCTGTGCTCCAGGGGAAGAAGGAGCTGGGCCAGAGCTGGGGTCAAGAGATGACATCTCCCATGATGCTCTGCACTGAGGGTCTGCCGACCAGATGCCTGGGGGAGGCAGCTCTTCTGATAATTCAAAGCAGATTCCTCCCCAGCTTTGTGGCAGCTGGTGGGCAGAAGGCCAGGGGACAAGGCTGGGCCTCCAGGCGTCTGGCTATAGAAGAGCTGAGGCAAAGAAAGCTTCTTCAGCCGCCTGTCCCTACGCCTCCCCCAGCTCCTCCCAATACCACTGCCCTCCCGCTGACCCCTCCCAGCTACACCAGACTCCCCTCTGCAGTCTGCACCTTGGACCCAGATTGCCCTCCATCTTCCACAGATCGGGCCTGGCAGCCTCAGCACACAGCCTACTGCACCCCAGTGCGGTACCCCGCTCAGCCCCCGAGGGGTCCTCACCAGCCCCCACACAGGGTGTCTCCCCAGGCCCAACAGCTTTTACACAGTGATCCCCGTTCTCTGCGGTGCTCTTCTATCCCCACGACCACCCAAGAGGTGAGGCCAGGAACATTTTCCCAAAGGTTCCTTCCTGGAAGAACGTTCAGGAACATTCCAGTTCACATCCCCTTTCTCTCTCCCAGGACACTCGGTGTTGCCCTCTTCCCACCACATCTGGGCACTTTCCAATCCTGGTGCTCCCTTCCCAGCAATCTTTGTTCCAACCGTTTCCAGCAACATCCCCAAGGGGCGCCTGAGAGAAGTGGGTTTGGGTCTCCTCCCTTGACTGGGAGTGCTCCCTTCGGAAAAGTCTAGGAATTTTCCCACCCACCCCCCATCACATTCTGGTAACTCTCAGAATTTAAGGGTCCTCTTGAGTCACGCAGCATTCAAGGGCCCGAGAAGCCTTTGGCTTGGGGCTCAGCGCCCACATTCTGGGGCCCCAGGCCTACCCTCAGCAGACCAGATGGTTCTCATTCGGTTCCGACTGACCTTGGGATGCCATTGTCCTCACAGGATGTGCAGGCCAGGGCACAGAGCAGCTTGGCTTCCATTTTTCAGTCCTGGAGCCAAGGGAGGCCACTCCATGAACCTCTTGTGGAGAGCCCAGAAGCTGGGGCGCTTCCCTCCCCTCACCGTGCATGCTAGTTAGGACTCTTCCTGTTGCAACAGGAGGAAA